CTTTTCTTTGCCTCCAACAACTGGTATCTGTTCCTGCGCTTACACGCGATTCTCTGCGATCGTCTTCATCATATGTACGAGCGGGCGCGTCTACTGGCCATCGAGGAGGAGCGTTGTCGGGTGAATCGGCGAGAGAGCACCGCCACCGCGCTGCGGCTCAAGCCCAAGCCCGAGGTTCAAGTGGAGGACTACTATCCCACCTTTCTGGATATGCTCAAGAATGTCCTAGACGGCAACATGGACTCGAACACGTTCGAGGACACGATGCGTGAAATGTTCGGCATTTACGCCTACGTATCCTTTACGCTGGACAAGGTATGTGGTGGAATATACATATGTAATTAGCGGACTATCTCGATTGCTAATCATTTGTTCTTCTCCCTGTGTTGCCAGGTTGTTTCGAACGCCGTTCGCCAGCTGCAGTATTGCGTCACTGAGCGAGCCGCCTTGGACTGCGTGGAGTTGTATGCCACCGAACAGCGGCGCGGCAGCACTGGCGGCTATTGCCGCGATGCCCACAAAACGTTCGACCGCGAGATGATGTATCAGCGCAAGGCGGAAAGCATGTTCAACGAAGAGAACTGCTTCAAGGTGTTCATCGTAAGTAGTGCTGGAAACCCTTACGCCAAAAAATACTTCTATAACGAATCGTGTGCGCTATCTTGCAGTACAAAATTAACTGTCGCGTTACCATCGAATTGCTCGACTCGGAGCCCGAAGAGGCGGACAAGCCGGCGCTGAAGGCCCAAAAGTTCAGCAAATACGTCGAGAGAGTAGCGAATCCAGGTCTCGGCGGCAGTGGCAGTGGGAATAGTGCAGCCCTGAGCAGCGACAACATTGTGGAAGAGTCCGACATCAAGACGGAGGAGGAGGATGAAAATGCCGAGGTGAGTGTTGGGCAGGAGGAGCTGGGCAGCAGCAGTATTTGAGCTAAAGCCAGAGCCAGAGCCGCTTTGCGTGTGTGCTGGAAGAGTGGTTAACCATGTTGTTTGTGTATTCTGTTATTCATTTATGTTTTATTTCCCGATTCGTATCCTCCTCTGTTGTGATTTAAGTACTTTTCACTGTACATACCATACTACACCATACCATAACATAACATAACAAAACATAACAAAACATACATTGAACAAGTATAGTTTAGACCGTAGACCCACAAAAAATGGACCGACTACTGAACCACCAACTCAACCCACCTTCTGTATATATTAGTTTTGGTTAAGTCTGTTATCTGTTGTTGTATATCTATCTATCTGTCGCCTTTTGCCGTTGCACACGCTTAAGTTTTTTTCTCTTCTCGTTTTGCTAGGCTCGGGTGCACACATTTTTTGTTGTTGTTTGTTTAAATACTTTAAATACTCTTTTTTTCGATATTTTGTTCAACTATATTCCGTTTGGATATCGTTTATCAACATGCCAATTGCCAACTTTTGCCAATCGCCCACATACATATCGATGAAAACAATCGATTGAAAAATACCAGAACAAACAAATTAAAAGCAATTAAAAAGAAGAACGAGAAAATATTCACTAATCTAATTAATGCTTTTTTGCATTCTTTTCTCTCATTTTTTTCCAATTTATTTTTTCGTACCAGGTCAATTCCAAGGCTTGAAATAACAAAATAGTTTTGATAATTTCATTGAATAAGAAGAAGAAAAAGTCATATTGCAAAATGAAATAGTAATAAATGAATTTGTTTTTTGATTACCAGAACAAAACAAAAATACCAAAACTTACATCGCAATAGCAACCGTAACACCAACAACCTTTTCACCCATCACTACCACTACCACGCCCACACCCACACCCACACCCACATTCACACCGACACATGCATAAGAATGTAAAGAACCGTTCGTCCAAGCAATAACAAGCAACAATAATGATGAGAAACCGAATTGTCACCCAAATAAATGTAGCACTTACCACCCACCCACCATACCACACCACACAACTCACGCATATACATAGACACCTGCCAGCATACATATTGTACATACCTAATGTAAAATAGTAGAACAACAACAATAATTATAAACGTAGGCACGCGCTTGCATTTGTTTCTGATTTTGTTATGCCTTGAGTTTGTCTCCTTAGTGCTCTATCTCGGAGGTCAATAGGTCAGTCTCGCGTCGCGAAGATACTCTTCTCGGGCAGGTGAAGGAAAGACAGTGTGTGTGTTGGTTGGGAATGAGAGAGGATGAGGTGTGAGAAAAGGATACAAGATTGCGGTGTGAAGTTGTTCAGTTCCAGTGTTGAGCAGCCCTAAGTTTTAGGGTTTTGCGACACCACACATATATGTATATGTAAATATTTATTATCGTGTTTTTATTGTATATAACATTTGGCGTCAACGTACATCGTACATATGTAATTAAGAGTAAAAGTTTAGTAGCTAATTTTGTAAAGGAAGAATAACAAGCCAAATAATGTCTTTTTAAATTAAAGCAGTTCGGTAATAATTTTTATATCTAGGAATTTAAGACAAACACACACGAGACTACAAATTACAAATGCCAACACCATAATTGTAAATGAAATCAAAACATGATACAGAATACAATCACCAAATGTGGATATTACCGGAGAGTGAAAAATCGAGAAAATATATATGGAGCAGCAGCCTATTATTAAATTAAATTATTTAATTGCACTTATTGAAGGTCAAGAGGGTGCCTCTGGGGCGGGGATGGGGTTTAGTGCAGCTCAAAGAACGCAGGTTTAGTAATTTAATTTACTTAAGTTTTAAGCAAGGTAAGTGGTCGTCGCATCGTAGAACTACTCATCTCAATTGATTAGACGTAAATACTGTAAAAGATTAAGTTTACGTTCAAGTCGAGTTGAGTTTTGTTGGTATTACTATACTATGTATATGTGTGTACCATGTAAATGTGATTCAGTTGCTCCGTATATGTGTACGTGTCGATCTTTGGCTTGTCTGGCCTGGTACCACCTCTACTACATCTGTTGTTTGACTTGTCTTTGTTTTTCCCCCCAACCCAACTCCTCTTTTTCCTCCTATGTAGGTATTCCTCCTATCTCTTATGTAATGCTCATTGTTAGTAGTGCTACACACATACACCTCGACACACACACACACATACTAACAACAGACACAAACATACACATACCCAGCTTTAAGTAATATTCGTAAAACTCTCTGTGGAAGCATGCTGCATTGCCCCTCAATTGCTGCCGGCAATTGCCATAATTATGGACAATCAGAACTAATCGTTGCCCCGTCCCCGTTCTCATTGCAGCATTCGCGAGGAGGAGGAGGAGGAGCACCCAAGGCACGTTTCCTGCAGCGCAACAAGCGCAGGTCGCAGCTACACGAGGAGCAAGTGCGCCAGTTGTTTGATCAGAAGCGGAGCCGGAGTGAGCATGTGGCAGCCGCAGGAGCCTCCACGACTAACGCTGCTGAGGCAGGCTCTGAAGCCAATTCTACCGGCAGCAGCACCAATAATAATAACAACAACAACAATAACAATTGGGGCAAGCGTTTGCCGGAGAGACTGGGAGCTCCACAGGTGGGCCTGGCCGAGCAGTACGCCTTCAACGATCGCGATGAGATCACCACAAATTCCAGCAACGGCCGTTGCTTTGTGACCAGCAAGAATCTCAAGCTACTCAAGTACGATGCAGTGCGTCGTGCCAAGAAGGTGAGTCATCGAACTCTACGAATAGCAGCAGAAGAGGCAGAAGTGTAACTCGTTTCCATTTGTTCCCAACAGAGTCATTGCCGCGTCACTCAGGCGAAGTACGTGCGATATCAGGCCTACGTCAACAATTGGCTGCAGCAGCACGTCAGCGAGCAACTGCAGCAGAACTGCAGCGATTGGCTGCTGGGAAAGACGGCGGATCAGATCAATGCCAGTGGCTGGGGTGCCACCTGTAAGACCAAGTCGCTGCAGCAGAAGGATACCTCCAAGACCCCCTACCGCGTGTACACGAGATATAAGGTCATTCAACTTGGCGGCAGTGCGACGGGCGGCGGCTCAGTTGGTGGTCTGATAGGCGGAACGGCGCCATCAGCAACCACAGAAAACGCGGCAACAACATCAACTGTAACCACTGTGTTGGCCGCCGCCGTGTCCTCCACCCACCCAATAACCAATAGCAGCAGCAGTAGCAGCATTTTGTCAGGGGACTCGACCAACACCACCAATACCCCACAGCAGCATTGCAACAGTGCGGCTGCAGCAGCGGCAGCACCCACGAATGCCGCCGAGGCCCTGCAGCAGGTGCGTCCGATGGAGAGCTAACCGGAGCGGACAGCAGGAGCAGCAAAAGGAGCAGGAGCATGGTCAGATTCTGCCTGCATATGACGATATAAAGATGCAATGGATGATTTGTCTGTATTCAATAAAAAAATTTAATTATAAATGTGATACCAGCCGCAGTTCGGCGCGGCTTTGGATATTGGATATATATTTCATCGAAACGAAACAAAGCTCTTTTCACATTGTACAAAAAGTCATTTAATCATAGGCGTTTTGCTCCAAAACGAGAATTTGATAGGCTTATAGCTTGCATAACTTTTAGCGGTAGAGTTCACCTATGGCAGCGCGCTTTGTTTTTTATAGAGGCGCTTGTTTTTATTGAGCTAGCATTAAGTCAGAGCCCCTTTCTACCCACTAACGCAACCTAACTTGATAAGCCATATATATAGTATATACATATAGCTAAGGCACAGCAAACACATTGAGAAACGAGTTGTGCTAGTAATTAGATTTCAGAACACGTCTGTTTAGAGCTAAGATTTTATCTTTTACTTTTCCTACACATGTGTGACGTGACGTATTTTTATACAAAAGAAAGCCCAACAAAACAATCGCATCGCCCACACACAAACCTTGTACAATTCCTTGTGAATACTATTATATTATAGATATCTACGTGCTTAAGATCCCTAAAACTAAGTTGTATAAACGTAATGAGCAGATTAAAAGAGTTTATCAAAAGTGAAATGGCATTTGAAACGAGGATTCCAGCGATTACAAAGAAATATAAATGTTTATTTGAAATAGTTATATCTTAAAATGAACGGCGCACAGTGCACTACACTATAGTAGTATTCGACACACAATTAAAAACATTGTATTAAATACATGCATTTCTCCATATATCACTTGTAAATGAAGTCCCGCCGCGTTATGATGCCAGCTATGCGATTCTCGTTGTTGATGACCAGCATGTGGCGCAGGCCCAAGGCCCGAAAGACTTGGAAGATCCTGGGCACCGAGTCGTGCTGTAAGGCAAGACCAGCAGGAACAAAATGAAATAAAATGTATCTGTAACATGGTTAAAAATATTGTTCCGACTCACCGCATTGACGCGCACTGGTGATGGATTCATGAACATGGCCAGGTCCACTGTGTAGTTTATTTTATCATCCAGTTTTCGAACGCTCTGGAAACGCAAGGAAATGATTGCAATGCCAATCTGACGGGTACTCTTTTTGCAGGTTATTAGTCCTTACCTCAATTGATGGATACCGCGGATAGACATCGCGAAACGTTTGTATTGAAGTGTCTGGTAGCCAGAAACGACTGTTCTCCACATACAGAGACTTTAACAGGATGACAATTAGCTGCGAGCGCAAAACAATGCCACAGACGCGACCCTGAGAGCGATGAACCTGCAGGCAATTCAGGATTATATTAGTCTCACGGACAAGCAACTGTTTTCATAATCTTACGCCTTGGACATCATCCACAACGGGAAAACCATTGTGATCGCACTTCTTCAGCACATTGTAGATATAATGGGCGCTGTCGCGCAGCTTAATGCATACCACTGGACTGCTCAATATTTCGCGGGCTGTCAGTCCTTTATATTGTGGAAGCGGCTCCCAGGGCAGAATGGGCACGTGATTCACCTCGATTTGGGTGTCGTAGATGCCCTCGTTGAAGTAATCGCCCACCCATTTGGCACTGATGAGTGCAATGATCAGAGGGAAAAAGAACGATGTCTCCACGCCAGTGGTTTCCATCAGAATAACCGACAAGCTGATGGTCATGCGTAGAACTCCACCCAGATTGGCGGCAGCTCCGATCAAAGCATATTTTCCGGGATGCAAAAATTCCTGTTTGTACACGGAAAGGATTAACTGACTGGACTGATGGAGCATGAGCGACTGAGAACTTACAGTTTCAGGAAATAAATAGTACGTGACCATGGCGAAGAGACGTCCCCAAGCAGCGCCTACTAAAGCTGTTGGTATGAAGACACCCAGGGAGACGTTGAGGCCAAAGGTGGCACACGAGAGCACGTAATAGACAATCGTGAACATGGTCAGGGTGAGTATTTTGTGCGATCCTGAGAATAAGAGAAATTTAATATTTATATGGCACTAAGAAAAAAGGCACTAGCCCACCTGGTGGATCATGGAAAAGAGATCGGACTGTGGCCTCGGGCGTTTGAAACCAGAGTGCTGCCACTGCATTGTATTCATTGTCCTCGCAAAAGAGCTGAACAGGATGGATGGTTGGATCGTTACCCAGCGGCCGACAATCGTTGATAAAGTAAATCATCGTGCATGCCAGTGTAACGCCGAACATAGCCACCACAACGGCTTCGCATACCTTGCCAATCTTCCAGGGAATGTAACGTTTCCTAAATCCATTGATTTTTGTGTTCAGCGAATTCCAGGCGGCCCCTAGTAGGCCTCCGGTTATGCCCAACAGCATGAAGATCGGCAATTCAAAATAGTCGAATTTCAGGGGTTGATCGAACTTTCCCAAATTGAAGAGGCCGGTGAAGGTGAAATCGTTCAGACCGTGATATGTGGACAGAACAAGGTTCAGAGTAAAGACGCTAATGATTGAGGCAACGAGAGTGCGCCAGATGAGATTTTGGTTCCAGAAGCTGGCTGCTTCTTCCAACGAGAACAGCATGCCGCCAATGGGGGCGCCAAAGGCGGCCGAAACTCCAGCAGCACCGCCTCCCAGGACAAAGTCCCGCTTCTCGTGATCATCCCTGAAGGCCTTAAAGACGTGGAAATCCTTTACGAAAGTGGTGCTTTTTCCCTGCGATATGCCAGCGGCTACAACAGCGCCAGCGTGTATCATTGGCCCCTCCTTGCCGCCAGCCAAGCCGCCGACCACCGAGGTGATCACTCCAATAGCCTTAACTGCCAGGGTTTTGATGCGCACAATGCGTGGTATTTTCACGCCATTGAGATAGCTCTTCACCTGCGGAATGCCACTGCCCGCCGTTATGGGTTCGATGTAGGTAACCATGGCAGCTCCAAATGCCACGGGCACTACGCTCAAGAGAATCCAGTAGAGAAAAGGCACAACTAAATCGCCGCCCGTAAAGTCGGTCTGTGGAACATTTTTCTCGACAGCTGCAAACATAAAATCATGTGAAATAACCAAACCAATTGAGCTAGTCTATCGTTACGTACAGGTCATGAGGAACATGTACTTCAGTTCGGAGAGTTCTTCGATGATAATGTCTATGGAGCAGGCAATAAGCGCTGTAATGATGCCAATTTGTATGAATATGATCCATCGTATGATATCTTTCCGCAGTGAGAACCGCTCCGTAAGCCTCTTTTTTTGTTCGTCTTGAAAAAGCTTATTTTCGCAAACTTCATAGTCTAAGCTCTGAAAATGCAATTTAGATTATGCATTGGCGATAGCACACGCCCACTGTCACTGTCAAACACAAACCCACCTCATAGTTGGGAGTAGATGCTACTGCGGTCCGGGATCTTACACGGAAAATAGGTTCCGACTCAGCGTTATCCCGATCATTAGGTGGCAAATTTCCATTGAGCGCCTGTAAATATTTAAAAGTGGATATAGAATTTCATTTATACTCGTACTTAGTGATAAGCAATTAACTTTCACAAAAGCAGTGGATGATTCATCCGACTTTTCCCTTTATTTTCAACTTACACTGTTGCCTGAATATGAAGGGGTGTGATCTAGTAATGCGGGTAAGTCGTCGTCGTCCTTGTCTGGCATCAAAGTCCCCGAATTATTGTTACCTACGCCGACACCTGTACTCGGTGTTGGAATATCGTCGTTAAGGATGTCTACCACAGCTGTCGGCGGTGGCGAACTTTTTACTGCCACTTTCGGCGCAACTGGTTCATCGTCGTCCGTTGTTTCTTCGTCTAAACTAATTAAAGTCTTTACATCATCCATTACTCCAATTTTTCCATAAAATTGCGGACAAAAACTAAAAACAAAAAAAAAGTTCAAGTGTGACCCTCTGCTGTTGCTAACGAAATACCAAATACTAAGCGGTTACTGCACTAATATGGAGGGAATGTTGTTTATTCAGTTGGTATAGATATTATATATACATATGTTGGTTTCGTTCCTTGGGAACGAACTCCTAAAAAGTGGGCTGAAATTGGAAGTCCGGATTCAAAAACTTGAATTTGGCGGCCTCCAGGAGTAAACGGTTGTGCTCAATTTGGTTGCGGGAGCGCAGCTCCTGGCTTATATCGGTCATTGTGCGTTCAAGTCGCTGCAGAATATCTCTAGGTGGTCCATCCATGTAATGTGCCACTGAGGGAGCCATTTGAACATCTTCCAGGGAATACGATTTGCTGGATAAGCTGGATATGCCGTCGCTTTGCGAGGATGCTATAGAAGCTGTGGTCAGATCAATGGCTACCGGCTGTTCCGTACGGATTGGCGATGGTGAATTGCTTGGTTGCTCCTGCTTAACGTCGTGGCGCAAGGGCAAGACCTGCGGCACAGCAGCCACGGGAGTAAGTTGGCTGTAGTTGGCCATCAGGGTCTCCACCGTGCTGGGGTGGAGATTTGGAAGCTGGGAATAGAAGAATTTGTTATATAAGATTTGGAAATTCACACTATAAGAACGACTACTTACGGTGCGAACATTTTGGACTATTAACCCAATGTTTTTCGAATTATCTGTACAGTTGGGCATCTTCGACGCGGCCAGGTTCACGTGATTTTGGTTGTGATCTAAGGTCGAATAGCCGCTCACGGAAGGAGAGGGCTAAGGAAAGAACAAAAATTAACACACACACAAACAATCATGTAAATGCACGATAACCTCTGTTTAATTTCATTGAGTTGGTTGCTGTGCCGAAACAGATACACCCACAAACACACACGCGTGCATGTTCTACTTCTCTAACGGTAAACTGCATAGCTTAATACATATGGCTATCTCGCTTGTTTCTTACTGTTTTTGTGCCCGTCTCCTCCTTCTGTTCGCTATGCTCTTGCTGGTGGCGCTGGAACACCGTTTTAATTTTCAGCTCGTGTGTTTCGTTTGCCGTCGGCGCAGAAGACGCTATAGCAGGTGCAGCCGGCGCAGACGCCGCCGCAGCAGGTCCTCTTGTTATAGGCTTGCACGGCGATGTTGAAGCTCTCTTTCTACGGGGTTTCTCATTTCCCCGATTCTTCATAATGCGATCACGGCGTTCCTCCAGGGCAGCCACCTTCATTTCGTGCAATTTGCCCAACAAAGATGCGTGCCGACGCTGTACCGGAATCATAAGTCATTTACTCGAAATTGTGGGGTGTTATTTCTCTACCTTGATGTGCATATGAAAGTTTCCCGTGGAACGCACGCTGCCGCGATAAACCCGATCCGGCGGACAATTACAGCACTTGACCACCACATTGTCTCCGATCTGGCTTTCAATGCTGTACAGCTCTCCATTTAATATGTAAGGAACGTGTTGACGCTGCTCCAAATCCACCTCAGACCTAACCTCAGGATTAGTACTGTCCGAAGACATTATTCCAGATATTGTTCCTGCTGGCCCTAATTTTGAATTCAATTTTATGCGAAACTAAAATTTATTATCGCCAAAAACCATTACTTACAGCAGCGACAAATCTGTCAAAAAGAAAAAGTACTTGCAGAGATACAACCACACATGAATCTATGAGTTCTGCTCGCAAAGAGGACTTCGAAAAGAGAGAAGGCAAAACGTAAGAAATGGTTCAAAACGGAAAAGGGGAAACATCTACAAGTACGATATACATATTTAAATGTGAGACAAGTACGGGTGCTATTCGATACCACAGTGTACAGTGCCTTGAGTATACATTTATTGTGCGAAATATGCTGTATTTATTATGTTATTTTCTGTAATTTAGTTCCTTGCGCTTTAAATTTTAATAAGTTTCGGCGCCAGGGCCTTCGATAGTTCGATTCGATATATTACTCGAGCTAATTGTGGCAACCCTAATATCGATAAGCGGTATCTGCACGTTTTCAACAAAAATAAACAATATCAACCTTTTAATTAAGAATATTTCTAAATAGAAGTGTATTACGGGCTATGAGATGTCGGATCAAAACGCAGATGCGAAGCCAAACATTTTAATCACCGGTTGGTATGTTTGCTTCAGATAATTGTACGATTCTGACATGTTAGTGGACCCACAGGAACACCCGGAGCGGGCAAATCGTATTTGTGCGAGCGTTTGGCCGAACAATTGAAGTTCGACTGGTTGGACTGCTCAAAGATTGCCAAGGAAAATGATTACATTGAGGAGCACGACGAGGAATACGATTGTCCCATTTTAGATGAAGAGAGGGTATTATGCTACAATATTTCCGGGAATCTAAATAACAAATTACAAAATCTTAGCTTATGGACCACCTGGAACCGTTGATGCAGAAGGGCGGCAACATCGTGGAGTATCACGGCTGCGATTTCTTTCCCGAGCGTTGGTTTCAAGCTGTCTTCGTTGTCACCTGCCCCAATAAGACGCTCTACGATCGTTTAAAAGAACGCAACTACAATGAGAAGAAACTTTCCTCGAATATAGAGTGTGAAATCTTTGGCACTATCCTGGAAGAAGCGCGAGATTCGTACAAAGCTGACATTGTTCACGAACTCTGCGGCGAGACGGCAGCAGATGCCGATAAAAGCTTGAAAACAGTGAAACAATGGTACCGTATGTGGAAGAGAAAATAAACATACTTTTATGAGGAAATGCTAATCATCTAGTCCGACAGTGGATAAAGCAAAGTATTCGCAATCTATTTATGGCTAATACATATTTTATTAGGCAAATATTTACAACAAACTACGAGTATACGAAATCTTACATCTACAGCTGATGAGGCGACTATATGCGCGTCATTTTAAAGCGGAGTGGGCCATCCGGCGCGTACATAAATGTGACGGCATAGTCCAATGGTTTGTGGTTGTATTCAAGCTTGTAGTTTCGCAACAGCTTGGCCAGCAGTATCTGCATCTCCAGGTCAGCGAATCGCCGCCCCAGGCACATGCGGGCACCATAGCCGTAGGGCAACGAGGCAAACGGATGTAGTTTGCCCGGAAGTCCACCATGCTGTGGCTTGAGCCAACGCTCGGGTCGGAACGTGGCAGCATCTGTTACATACTCCTCCATGTTACCAGTCACAATCGTGGGAAAGACGGCCTGGACTCCCTTCGGCACCTGGTAGCCGCAGATCACGCTGTCCTCCTGCAGGGTGCGTCCATTGCCAATCACCGTGCTGTACATTCGGAAAACCTCCTTGATGAAGGCCTTCAGATGGTGCATCTGGTCGAGCAGCTGAATGGTGAGCGGTGTGTTTGGGTCTGGTAGCAGGCGCTTCAGTTCCTCGTGCACCTTTTGCTGCTCCTCGGGACGCGTGGCCAGTTGATAGAGCATTGAGCAGACCGCCATCGATATCTGGAAGTGGTAACTTTTAGCTTTCTGTTGAAAACTACAGAGACTCTGATCTTACGGTGTCTATTCCGACTAGAATCAAGTCCAGCGCCATTATGGTGGCTATCTTTTCGTCCTTCTCCGACATAATCACCTTCTCCACCAGCGAGGGCTCACCGGCACGCTGGCTGGGATCTTGTGTCTTCAATCGCTCTGTGGCACTCTGTATGTACTTCATACAGACGCTGGAAGGAACGAGATATTGATGGCTTCATGGTATTAAGAATATTCTGCACTTACCCCACAAAGAAGTTCATGTTCTTCACATATTGGGTCCAGAGCGGCGTCGGGAAGTACCGCCAGTAGGGAGCCTTCAGTTCGAGAGTGGCCACGTTCCGCAGGGCATACTTGGCAGCATCGATGATTTGCTGTGGCTCCGAGTCGGGACTGAGATTCGCTTCGAGGCAACCCAAACGCGTGTCCAAGGCAACGCGTCCAATACCTGATGTGGACAAGAATATTGACGTTATAGTATAAACCTAGTCATTCGTGGTCATGAGGGCTCACATTCCAGCGACCATTTGTGTATCTCGTTGTCGAAATCCTTTGGCAGCTCCTGGTTACCATCCAACAGGTGCTCGCAGCGCACCAGGAAATCATCTGTGATCGCCTCCAGCGGCTGCAGGTAGCGCCTGATGGTGGATAGCTGCAGCACCGGCTTCTGGACACGCGATCTAAACTGACGCCAAGGCTCGCCGTGGCTGCATGGGAAATGGTGAATCAGTGGATCAGTGTTATGCGAGTATGCGTGAGGCTGTTCCACTTACACGCCCACCACGCCGCCGAGCTCCCCAAAGAAGTCCTTGCGCACCACGCTCTTGTACTTGACCAGACTGGGCATCGATGGGCGGAAGGGGGTGGGCCCCTCGCTACGGTAGCACTGAAATGTCAGAAAAATCATAAATTGCTTGGCTCTAACATCCGACAACTGGCTGTAATTTGTACTAGCTGGAAGCGTCGCAAAGTGCCAGAAATTGCTGTAATGCTTTGGTGCCTTCGTGCTTCGCTGGTCAAGCGGAAAGACCCCACCAGTAGCTAAGTGCGTCTTGGCTGTGTTCCGTGTTAAGGCTTGAGCATAGCTTACCTTTTCGATTTCGTCGGCGTCGTAGATAAAGAGTAGATCGGGCCTACCTATGAGGCCACCGAAACGCACAATTCTGCCATAGCGATCGTGTAGCAGCGACGAGATGTTGGCCACATCGGAGATGGTGTATTGCCCAATGATCGGCATCAGACTGTGAAGTAGAACCGCCAAGGTTAGGGCGCATGACAAAAAAAATCGAACAATTGGCAAACAAAACAAATCTCTGCGACAATGGAGGATGCATTAGCCTTTGCCAAAAGCGCAAAATACTCGTAGACTGTAGTACGTGAACGGAGCATGCACCAAAATTTCACATGTTATGATGCTGACCTTGAATACGGCGCTAATTGAACGCTAATCAACAAGATGACGTATGCGGGAATGGATTGTATGTCGGAGCGGATGCCAGCCGATTAGCCGAGGGAGTGATTATGTGGTTTCCGTAAGGGCAGGCGCGGTGCAGGTGTGAACACTCGGATACTAGGAAACCCAACAAGAATCATTGAAAACTATCATTCAAGCAGTTGTTAAATATTTGGACAACAAACGGGGGAAAACAAGCTTCGTTGCGGCCAGTGAAATGATCGCCTGCTTTGGACGCGGCAAAGCCAAAATAAATTAATGGAATATAAAAACCAGCATCATCATGAGCAGTGCTTATTGAACATGCTTAATTGGGTCAAGTGAAACGGAGAGTGAAGAGTGGCTGGCTGTGGCTGTGGCTGTGGCTCTGGCTCTGGCTCTGGTGCAGGGAAATGGAATTGCAATTCGCAGAGTGAAAGTACGTTTGCTGCTCGAGTCTTTCGTTTCTGTGTGTCGCGACTCTTATACGAGTACCTACCGCCAGGTGTTGCCCAGAATGGGTAGGGGCTTGGGTCCAGGTATCTGATTGTAGGGCAGAGCGTTCTGCCATTCGGGAGTGGAGTGTATTCGTGGCGTTGTCGGCGCCGCTGTCTCCTCTGGTTCCAGCAGATGGGGACAGGCGGCCACGCCCGTGGAGCTGTCGCGGATCTCCAGACGTTGCTTCTCATTTGGCAGCAGGCCCGTGCCACTGATCCTTGACACAGTTCGCCTCAGGCTGGATGCACTGGCTGTGCAAGCCCTCACTGGAAGCTTGTTCATTTCTTTTTTTTTTGTTTTCTATCTGGCTTTATGCGTGTGTCAGCAACAAATTTTAATTCAAATCAGATTTCACTCGTTTTATGCCTCGATTTCCAATTGTCTTGCGTTGACGTTGTCTTTGCGTTGACACACACAGATACACTGGCTCGAATGAAACTGGCTTCTAGCTCTGCCAGTCCGCTTGCAACAACTGAGCTCCGTTCCACACTCAATGGCTGTCCGACACAAACTAGCTGCTCCAGCGCCTCCACCGAGCCCCCAGACCCGTCCTCTTAGTAAACTTTTAAAAGAGAAATCATTTCGATGCTCTTTCGTTCCGTGCTTTCGACCATGTAATGAGAACTGAAAGAATGGACGTATGAAAATTGTGCAAGGGGCACAGATTCACTTCAATGTCTTACTGACTTTTTACATACAACATGATTTAGTAATAAACATTAACCTTTGGGTCAAATGTAAGTAAATATGTACATAAATATGACAACTGTTATTTATTTACTTAAGAGCGATCAGTTTTACGGCCATGGTTGCGGTATTTGTGTCTGTTCGGCGGGTTCTCAGCTCCAATCTGGGATGCGATGCACGGAGATTCAACTCTAGATTTGGGTAAATGCCCATCGAAAATTCGCGTGTGAGTATGGAATCTAGATTGTAGCCAAGGCCGTATGGTTAATGGCAGTATGCCTGTAACAGAACAGATAAATTGGCTATCGTAGCTCGAATTTCTGCAGGCTCATGGAAACTGAGAATCTTTCGAAGGGTTTGTCATCAAAGCTATAATGACTCGATCCAATTTAAATCACACCTTTTTATACGATTTGTCTGGGGTTTTTATTTATATTCAGTTATTTAATTCCTCCACTTAGCACACTAATATTAACAAATTTGTTTGGGTCTGAAACAGTTTTCTGTTGTCGGGATAAAGGGGCATAGCTGCAAAGCATTGCTACGCACAACCAGTCCTTCTTACTCCGCCGACACTCTCCTTGGCCGCCTCCATCCAATCCTTGGACACCTTGGGATCCGCTACCATGTGTGGCACAATACCTTCCTCCTACATCCGACACCTCTCATGCTCAAACCGATGGCACTCGAAGAAGTAGTGAAGTTTTCGTGAGAGATGAAGTATGAACGGAGCAGATATATAGTGACTTTTATAGATCCTATTACTACCTATGCGAACTTCGACATCCAACTTGTCTACTGACCCAAGAATTTGGTATGGTTATAAATATAAATAAGCGAAGATTCGACTATATTGAAATAGTATAATTACTACTGTGGAAGGGTTATACAGTTTAGCTAAGGCTATAGCGGATGGGGTTCGGGCGTTTTAAACACCGAACAAACTCATTAGATCTCCATGGATTCACCCGTAATCACCTGAAAGCAAATTTATTTAAAAAGGCCATGTCCATTTGGTGTGTGATTAGTGGCACCGAAATGTTCGACGTACTTGTATCTGGCCGGTGGCATTTTCTGGCCGCAGCTGTTGTGCTCTGCTCCGTTCTGGGGTGCGAGGGTCGGAGGTCGAACTCCAGATTCACCAACCTCCAGTGCGAGTCGTATAACGAGTCGTTTGTGACTTTCTCGAAATGCAAACTCAATCTCCTGGCCAGGGGACGCGCGGGAATCAATATACACTGCCAACTGCACAAGACGCCCATTACAAACGTGTGGGTGAGTCTAGAATCCTGATTGTGGCCGAGAGCCTTGTGGTTATTTGGAGTTTGCCTATGACAGATGAATTGGAGCATGTATCGTCGCTACAATGGCTGGCGTCCATTTCTGTACAACGTCAGCAAGAATTTCTGCCAGCTCATGGAAAATGTGAACGATGTTTCTTTCGAAGGACTTGTCATCAATGCCATAATGACTGGATCAAACGTAAATCACACCTGTCCATACAATGTGGGTGTTAGCATATCATCAACAAAGTGAAACAGTTTTAATTGGATCCCTTTATTGCCATCATTTAGCATGATGTCATACTGGATAATTTGGAATTCACAGACGATTTGCTGAAAACTTTACCACTCCCCAAAGGCGACTATAAGATCCAACTGCGATTTGCCAGTGACAAAACATGGAGATTGCAAGTGTCAGTGTTTTTCGCAAGAGATGAACAATAATTGGAGCAGATAGGTATGGATAGGTACTACAGGACCGGACCCAAGGGCCCACAGTAGCTGGTTTCTCAAATGGCTGGATGGTCAACAATATATTTCTATTCTATTCCAGGCACAAACATTTAGTACATATCATGTACATATCATGTGTCCAAATTGATATAAAATACAGAACGTATCATTTAGAATTCTGTCAATTGATTTCGACTTGTGATGTTTAATGGAAATTTAATAGATATTTAAATTTTAGTTAAGCTTTTTCTAACACTACCCATAGTCATTAGGCACTCGTAATCACCTCAATATTTGTTATTCGCATTGATTTCAAACTCACTGAACTATAGCTTCATTAGCCCTAATGTGTAATCGGTTCTTGGTTCAATTTAAATGGTTGCGGTACGTCCATATAATGACAGGTATCTATTTATGTCCGTACAGCGTCAACTAGAATCTGTCTTTGGAGGGACTTGCCATCAATGCTATAATGACTAGATCCAACTTGAATCATGCCTGTCCCTACGATATGAGTTAGCATAAGAATCATCCATAGCACGACATCCTACTAGATAACTTGGAGTTCAACGATGAGTTTGCTCGCTTGATATTGCATACTCTTGTGCTGTAGAAAAATACATGAAGGTAGCTTTGAATTTATTATACCCGATACTCAAAATGAGTATTGGGGTATATTAGATTTGTGGTAAAAGTGGATGTGTGTAAAGTCCAGAAGGAATCGTTTCCGACCCCATAAAGTATATATATTCTTGATCAGCATCAATAGCCGAGTCGATTGAGCCGTGTCTGTCTGTCCGTCCGTCCGTCTGTCCGTCTGTCCGTCCCCTTCAGCGCCTAATGCTCAAAGACTATAAGAGCTAGAGCAACGATGTTTTCGATCCAGACTTCTGTGAAATGTCACTGCTACAAAAATATTTCAAAACTTTGCCCCGCCCACTTCCGCCCCCACAAAGGGCGTAAATCTGTGGCATCCACAATTTTAAAGATACGAGAAAACCAAAAACGCAGAATCGTAAAGAATGACCATATCTTTTAGACTGCAGAATCTGAATTGGATCGTATTATTATTATAGCCAGCATCAAGAAAACAATTTCATTTTTTCTCGCCCTGTCTCTCTCTAACACACACGTAGCAAATTCGGCTTTGCTTAGAGTAAAACATTAGCGCCTAGATCTCAGAGACTATAAAAGCTAGAGCAACCAAATTTGGTATCCACACTCCTAATATATCGGACCGAGACGAGTTTATTTCAAAATTTCGACACACCCCCTTCCGCCCCCGCAAAGGATGCAAATCTGGGGATATTCACAAATCTCAGAGACTATTAAGGCTAGAGTAACCAAATTTAGAATCCGCACTCCTGTTAGATCTCACTATAAAACGTATATCTCAAAATTTCGCCCCACCCCCTTCCGCCGCCACAAAGGACGAAAATCTGTTGCATCCACAATATTGCAGATTTGTGAAAACTAAAAACGCAGAATCATAGATAATGACCATATCTATCAGATTGCTGAATCTGGATCAGATCAGATCATTTTCATAGCCAAAAGGAACAAATCAATTTGCAGTGGCTACGCAGCGCCCGACGTCACGCTCAGACTGATTTTCTGTCTCTCTCGCACGCACTCTTTGTCGTGTCGTTTAATATTAGCGCCGTCTGCCGGAGGAGAGCCATACTGTCTTAGTATCGGGTATAACTGTAGAGTTGCGGTGTCCGCAGCAACTCACAACGTTCCCCCTCGTTATTTTATTTGTACGTTGATATGCAATGACTGCATCTTACAAGAGGCATCTTACAAGAGAGGAGGAGAATTAGTGTTGGATATAATATATAAGGAATAATTCGAAATACACAGTGGAAGGAAAGGTATAAAATTTCTAGTGAGTCTAATGGGAATCGTGAGGTTAACACATTTTGACACTATATCTCGGCTAAATAGGGCCACATCACAGGCAAAATCCTAAGCCACCTGGACCCGTTGATGGACTGTCCGCCAGCTCCCGAAAGCTTCTTCCATTCCAGGGCCTTCGCTGGCCCATCGACCACGGCATGGCCAACCGAGTGGGCATGCCGCAGCCCAGATGGTGAATTCAATCAAAATCCCGATTTTATTGAGAAAGCTGTATGGCCTAGACATAGCGTACAGAAAAACCGAGTACAGTATAACGAATCTATTTCCAGAACACAGCAATGCTATATTCTGCAAACATTAATTCTATATTAGGAATTTTCCGTATAACGAACTCCCCTTGAGAGTCGCTATATGGAAGTTCGACTGTATTTTGATTATTGGACAGCCAAAAGACATACGGGGGGCAAAAGGGATAGATCGGCTAAGTACTGAACGTCGTTACAATGGCTGATGTCCATCTCTATAATACCCTGTTTCCGGGACCTTGATAAGCTCTCCTTCGACACAAAAAAAGAACCAAAGATCAGTTTATTTTCCACAATTTGCTCATTTCTATAATACCCTGTTCCCGGGTCCTTGTTAAGTTCGCCTTCAACACAAAAAAAGAACCAAAGATCAGTTTATTTTCCACAATTTTCTCATATATTTATCAATTTCACTTTTGATTACAAAATTCACAATTTTAAAATGTTCTCCTTGTGCATGTTATTTAGTTGTAATAGTTTTGGTTTTGTTTTATATATACTCGTATGTATTCTCTTGCTGTCGAGTTTGCCGAGTTCAATGTTCAATGAGATTGTTGTGTGCATGGCAATGTTGGATACAGTTTAGTGAACAATAAATAAAAACACGCACATAACTCTTTAGGCAATACGCATTTTGAGCATATCAAAATCTCCTGAAAGAGTTTCTGCAGTAAAATAGACAGTTTGTTGTACATATCTAAAGTTTAAATCGTAAATGCTTTGCTGGCCGGCTGGCTTACAGTCTAGAATCTGGATCTCGACTTCATAGCTTAAGTAGTTGTGTGTTGCGTGTGTGGCGTGTGGTATGGGGTATGCGACAAATGTTTAAATGGCACGTTTCCAACTTGAAGAATAAGTTGAAGATAAGGATAAAATACAGAAGACACTTTAAGATAAAAATTGATACCGAATGTTTTGATTGTTTTTTTTGGGTGTAGTAATACATAGATTAGTATAAAAGTTACGTTCCTAGGGGCATAAATAGTACGAAATTTAGCTTAGACGTAGATGTAAATGCATATGTACCATATGAATACAATATGTAGACTTAGAGACTAAAGCGGATCTGCATGCGTATGAAATGAAGGTGCTGCAGTGTGATAAATATGAAAAGTCATGTGGTAGCCAGTTCAGTCAATCCTGCACACAATGAACGCACTTCTGCACTGGCTGTATGTTTTTACACGGTTTTTTTGTTGCTTAATCGTTAACTAACTATACTAAGATGCTATTTATATTTATGGATGTGTGTATCTAGGCTTAAATATGTATATGGCGGCGTCGTTCGTATTTACAGTTCTCGTCGTTCGATCGTTCATTCATTTATATCCCACATGGTTAACTAAGACTAAATGCAGACCTGTCCGGTGCTCAATCCAACTCGATTGGTGCCCAACAGAAACTAAAAAACAAGTAACATAAATTGTTTTCGCGACTAATACTTGTAGTGGGTGGTAGGGGGGTGGGGGCGGGGCAGGTGCCGCTTCACTGTTAACACTCGAACTCGTTGGCCGTGATGGCGCTCAGATCCTTCATGAGACCCTCCAGATTGGCCATCTCCTGGTTGAGCTCCTCGGTGGATGTGCTCGGTGCCAGTCTCTGGATCTCGTCGGTCGAGTGTGCCACCGACCCGCCGCCCTGCAAGCGATTGGGCGTGGCGGCCGAGAACGATGGCTTCTTGTAGGGCGACTGGTTCTGTGGACGTATTGTTACGGCAGGAGCTGAAAGAAACAAAGTCGTACGAGCGTCAGTGGCGCCACAAGATCGCCTATATGGTCCAGATACTCACTGTGCTTGTTAATGGGCGTGGCTCCCCCAGTGGGCGGTGGCCCTGGAACGCTGAAACTCTTGAGCGGATGCCCGCGCTTGGCACTCTCGATGGTGGACACACAGCCATTGCCAGCGGCTCCATTGCCGGCATTGCTGTAACAGTTCAACAAGGAGGAGAGAGCAAAGACAAACAATTAGATCAAGTTAAGGCCAAAGGTTTTGTTTTGTTTGTGCTTTATATTGCTAACAAATTCATATGATTCGAACGAATTATGGCCCTAGTTGTGGGCCAGGGCCCTTCTGGCGATTACTCGACTAACGCTGTTGCCCTGGAAGTAAAGCTTGCGCGCGTTCTGAATCTCCCTGGCTTTCATGGCCAGACGAGTGTACGGCAGACGGTCGCTGGCGGACATAATGCTCCACGTGTAGCTGGCCAGTTCGGTAACGGTGGCCGAGTCGCGCATGCTGAACACCCCTCTGGCCTGGTGGTTGATCAGAATCTCGTCCAGGCGGAACTTGTTCATGAAGTTAACAAACGGCACCGGCGACGACATCAGCATCAGCTGGTGGTCCACGCGACGCTCCAATGTCTGCCGATTGAGCTTGATCATCTTCATGGACGGCTCTCGCACCAAATTGACCGTCACACGGGAATCAATACGTCCCCATCGCGATCTTGTGCCCATGCCTCTGCTTCAACTATAACTATATATCTCCAAGCTCGCAAGACCGGAGACACAACAACTGTTTCGAATTTAGATGAGAATTTTGTGGTGCTTCTGAATTGCTCTGAACTAAATTGAATCGAGTGCTTGACTAGATTTTTGGGGGGAACTAACCAGAAGCTGGCATCGTAGCCCCCGTACGGGTGCTCGGGCGTTTGGGCCAGCGAGCTGTTCTGGTTCGGCTGCGAGAGGCTCTGCTGCGAGAGGCCCGTCTCCATGGTCATGTGCGAGCGGTTCTGGTGGCTGTACTGGGTCCTCGGATACTGCGGGCGCTCCATCGTAGAGTTCATCGAAGTGGCTGCTGGCGGGGAATGGCGATTGATGAGCCGGACAAAGAACACAATGGTCTGCTACTCACTCATATAGCCGGGCACGTAGGAGCGCTTGTCCAGCGAGTTGGTCACATGCCCAGGCACTCCGCCAGGCGTCTCCACCTCGTACTCGCTGTGGACCACCGAGCGGGGCAGGGTCAGGGCCCCACTACTCGAGGCCCCATCGCTGCAGACGGGCGTGACCGTGTGCAGACCCTTGTCAATGTTCTTCAGCTCCATCTGGTCGTGATGGATCCATAGATCTGGGGGCTTTGGCACTCCCACGTTGTTCTTTTGATAGCTGCAAATCGAAAAACAGGTCAAAAAGTGGGACAGGGTTCGTGGCTCTTAGGACTTTACCTCTTTTTCGTATGCTCCGGGGAGGATTGGGGCTTGCTGCGGCAGAGGAATAGAATGGCAATGAGGACAACCAGCAGCACCACAACCGTGGCTCCGATGATGTACAGCAGCTGCTCGTTGTCGATGCCCTTGGCAATGGTGTCCGCCTCCTGCATGATCACCGCAGCCGTGGTCGTGTAGGACACCAGAGCGGAGAAGGGGGCATTGTTGTTGCCCTGCTGCTTGGTGGTGCGCGCCTGCACCTTGAAGTAGTAGGTGGTGTAGGGCTTCAGGTTGGACAGCATCAGCATGGTCTCCTCGCCGGCGAAGGCCTCAATGGACCAGTCCCGGTCCCGCTTCGTGGTGTCCGTCGTGTAGTAGATGTTGTAGCCGGTGATCTGGCCCACCGTGTGCTTCGGCGGCATCCACTGGATGATCACCGTGGGGGGATTCTCCTCGTCCAGGCGCACAGTTACCTCCCGCGGCGGCGTCACTGGCACATTTTGGTAGGTGCTGTTCAGCACCGACATGGACCAGGCGGACTCGCGGCGCCCTTTCACCACCTTGACGGCGAACTCGTACTGGGTGTTCGGCCGCAGGTCGTTGATCATGCAGTTGAGATCGGTGGTGTTGTGGTAGCGATAGCGACTGGATCCCGTGATGCCGTAGCTGACCGTGTAGTGGCGGTTGTCGGTCACGTGCTGGTTCTTGTTCAGCATCGTGTCGATCCAGTAGACAACGATCGAGGAGCTTGACATGGTGATGGCCCTCAGGCCCACGGGCACCTCCAGCGGCACCGGCACGTCGATGGGCTCCTCGTCGCGGGTCTTGATGTTGTCGTAGATCGGCGGGCCATCGCCCTTCACATTGCGCGCCCTCAGCGAAACCACATACTCCGTGTTCGACTCGAGGTTCTTGAGCACGTGGTAGCGCTCGGTCTCCTTCAGCTCGATGGTGTTCTCGTCGGGTATGCCTCGGCCCCAGCCCAGCACGTAGTTGCGTATCTTGATCTCCGGCTGCTGCGGCGGACCCCAGTGCAGGCCGATGTTCTCCGCTCCCGGCTGTATATTGATCCAGATCGGTTTGCCCGGCACCTGCGTCTCGTCCAGATCGTTCTCCAGCGTATTGACGCGATACCACTCCGTGAACGGCCCGGATCCATTCACCGTCATGGCCGCAATCTTCACCTGGTACTCGGCACTGCGGTCCAGTCCGCTCAGCTCGAAGTAGCGTATGTTGGCCGGCGTGCTCTTCACCTGCGGTGCGTCCTTGAACTTGCGATACCGGATCTTGTAGCCTGTTATCTGGCCATTGCGATCCTCCTCGGCGGGTGGCTCCCAGTGAACGGTAATGGACTGCCCGGCAACGGGAAGGACACAAAGGTTAAAAGGCTGAAGAGACTCCCAAAGAGTATACTCACGCTGGAACTGGTCACCTCCAGGGTGACATTGTTGGGCGGCTCCGACGGCGTTGCGGAGTACGTCTTCACCTTGATCTCGGCCGAGGGATCGCCCATGCCATTCCGATTGAAGGGCACCACACTGATCACGTAGTCCGTGTAGGCACGCAGCTCGGTGAGCAGTGCCTCCATGGCGGTGCTATCGTGGTACAAATCAGCTCCGCTTTCGTTCTGAAACGGGTTCAAAGGTTCGATTAGCATGTGGTCTTCGGCGGCTATGGCATCGGGTGCGTGTCCCACCTCCGAGTAGTAGACGCGGTACTTGAGTATCTCTCCGTTGGTCACTGCCGGCTCCTCCCAGCGCACATAGATCTCGCTGTGACTGCGCGCATGGCCCTCGAAGGCCCGCGGTGGTCCCGCTATGTTCACCTCCGGCTGGGTGCTGACCTCCAGCGGGGCAGAGGACTCGCCGCTGCCGAAGTTCGTGCTGGCCACCACACGGAACTGGTACGTCCTGCCCGGCAGCAGCGATTGGATGTTCACCTGCAGGTCGTCGTGCGATTTGGTCACCATTTTCTGCTCCCTAAGGCATCGAATGGCAAACGGAAAAGAGTTTTAATTTCGACAAAAGGATGCCAGCCAGACAGGCAGAAGGACTGGACTGAAGGTCTGTCAAAAGCAGGAAGCAATCAGATACCCACCTCTCGCTGTTGTTCATCTTGTAGTAGACCGTGTAGTAGACCACTTCCCCGGCATTCTGCAGCGGCTCCGCCCAGCTGAGGGTGACGAACCGCGGCTTGACTATCTGGGCGGCCAGGTCGCGGGGCTGGCTGGGCAGACGGGCCAGGAGTCCGCTGCCCAGACTCTTCAGTGGCACTCCACTGCCGGCGGCGGCATTGGCGTTGGCTTCCTGCTCGCTTGAATCTGAGGGGGACGCAAAATTGAAGGATGGGGGCAATGGCAGTTGCAGCTTCTGCTGCTGCTGTGGCTGGGATTTCTTGTGCTTGTTGCTCTGCCAGGAGGCCAGTATTTTCTGGGGATCATCGCCGTGCTTGTAGGCAGCGATCAGTGCCTCCTTCGTCTCGTCATCGTCGTACTCGTCGTCATCGTCGTCGTCTTGGTCGTTGTCATTGTGGCCGTTGCTCTCCCGCCGCAGGGCGCTGGCCTCGTTCCGCTCAAAGTTGCGATCGTTGAGCGGCTGCTCGGGCCGTGAGGCCTTCCCCGAGTGCTGCAGGCTGTCCAGCAGGGTCTTGGAGTACAGGAGCCGCGTGGTCGGCCCACTGTCCTGGGCACTGTCGTCGTCCCCGTCCTCGTCCTCGTCCTCGGTCGAGCGCAGGCTGGCCCCCGATTTGGTGCGCAGCGGCTGCTGCTCCCCCGAGCTGTACGGTCGTCGTCGTTTCACTGGACTGTCGGAGGTCTGCAGGGACTTGGTGGACTGGCCTTGGGGTTTGCGTTGTTTGATTTTCACTTTTGGGACGGGATTCGGGAATGGATGGATGTCGCGTCGAGGAAATGATAAGCCAAGGAAAAGTGTCGAAAAGGAAACGGAAACAAAGAAGAACAAATAAAACAAAACAAAAGTTAATAAATTATATTGACAAAATTCATTTTATATCACATTTCTTTATTATTAATTGCTTCCGACGATTCTCATTTTCGATCCGATGGGGAGAGCTCACCAGTAACGGCTGGTATCGGCATCATCGATAATAATCGATTGTTTGGCCTGGGAAAGTATCGATTCCGTGAAGGCTGTTAGGCTTTCTTTGCCGACCAAAAATCTGTGGCCTTAATTACAAAACAATTGGGAAGGGCCCTAGAATATAGCACGACTCGTCCTAAGAGCTTTTTAGATGCTCCACGGAGTCCGAGAGACATGAGTAGGAGCCTCCTTAAAGGTGGCAAATATTTTTGATTTATGTATTTTAATATTCTTTTGTGGATGCTTGAGGAATCACACGAAATGTATCTCAAAAAAGAAAAAGTTACAGGTTTAAGAAATTGTTTCAACGAAAATCGTTAATCGATATCGATAAATGGTTTTTTTTTTGTAGAAATGGCTATACGGATGGTGTTCAAGCTCGTTTGGTAGACTTATCCGTTCAGTCCTCTGGGTTCTCTCCTCCATCAATGAATCGCAAAAGAAATATCTATATTTTAGCACAAAATTCTACACAAAAATATACAAATACAAATACAAATACACAACACACAGACACACATGAAATCAATTTACAAAAGCAGGAGGACAATGAAAGGACAATGTTTGTACAAATTGAAAGGTCTGGAGGTACGTGGAGCTAGGCGTTCAATTTCGTAGAGTCATTTTACAGGCCGAATCGACAGCTGGACAAATACTGGACACCGGGCTGGGAGACTACATATACATAGGCGGATAGGGGGGATAGGAGGGATGGGGGGCTATCTCATAGAGCCACTTACCTCCTGGTGGGACGACGCGTAGCCGGGCCGCTGCCTGGACACTGCCAGCGGCATTGGTGCCGACGCACTGGAACATCCCGGCATCGGAGTGGAGCAGTCCGAGGATGCGCAGGTTGTGGTCGGCCACCAGCTGCATGTAGTCGTTGGGGGTGACAAGGTCGCCGTTCTTCAGCCACCTGATGAGGGGCTTGGGCTTGCCCCGGATGGCGCACTCGAGCTCCAGCTCCTCCTTCTCGTGGGCGGTCTTGTCGCGCGGCGCCTGGATGAACTTGGGCGGCACCTGGACCTGCACCGTGGCCTGGGCGTCCAGGGAGTCGACGGTGTTGCTGGCCCGGCACTGGTAGTTGCCCGAGTCGATGTCCTCGGCACTGGAGATCTGCAGCGAGCCCGTGCCGATGATGGAGAAGCGCGAGTCGAGGTCGTTCAGGTCGAGCTCCTCGCCGTTGCGCAGCCACTTGATCTGCGGCTTGGGCACCCCGTTGGCCACACAGTCCAGGGTGACGGTGTCCCCCTCGCGGACGGTCTTGGGCGACGGCCCCACCAGGAAGGAGGGGGCCACCGCATGCTCGCCGCCCGGCTGCTCGCTCGCCGCCTTCTTGATGTTCAGATTGGTCTTGCTGCTCAGGCGGGAGACGCTGCCCGAGGTGACGTTGCACTGGTAGGCGCCGCGATCGGAGGCAACCACCTCGTCGATCTCCAGGGCGCCGTTGGGCAGCACCACCATCCGCAGCTTGTCCAGGGGCAGGGGCATGTCGTCCCGGAACCACTGCACCGAGTGCCGCACGCCCTCCTGCCAGCTGGCCTCGCCCACCATGCACCGGAAGTAGGCCGTCTGTCCCGGCAGCAGGTACGTCTCGATGAAGTCCTGGTTGAGGTCCGGCTGGCGGGCAATCGCCACCAGCGCCGGCCGGCTCAGCACGCTGCCCACCCCCTCGGCCGTGAGGAGGCACTGGTAGGCGCCGGTCAGGCCGCGGTTCTCCTCCACCGAACTGATGTACAGCGATCCGTTCTTCAGCTGCGAGCGGAAGGTGTCCCCCACGATGCCCAGGTCCTGGCCGTCGGGTCCCCGCCATCGCACGGTCGCAGGCGTGGGCGTGGCCTTGCCCTTGCCACGGGCAGGCGCACTGCCGGAGCACTGCAGCAGGACCGAGTGGCCCTCGGGCACAACAGCATCCTGGGGCTCCAGGGTGAACGAGAGGGCTGCAACAACAACAAAGACACATTAATGGGGGGTTGGCTCATCAGGAAAGTAAAAGGGGGGCGAACACGGGTCGGGTCGGGGGTCTGGGCTGGGGACACGCCTCTGGGGCCGCCACTTGAGGCAGGGCAGGGCAGGGCAGGCATCCTGCAATCTGTCAACTTGTAAACACGCCTCAATAATTGATGCTGTGCAGCAAAAGCCAACTGGATGGATGGATGGCTGGATGGACGGGGGATGCCACGAGGGCATGCAAATATTTGCATTTCCACTTTGGCCCCGACTCGGCTCGTGGGTGGTGGTGGATGATGGGGTGGGACAAGGTAAAAGGGGCGACGCAAGGGAGGCCGCCTGAGCCTGCCGGTGAATAAGCTGCTAACATGCTTCACTGTTGGCTCACAAAGAAGAAGCCCAGCGAGGCCAAGAGAGGTGGTTTCAAGTCGCTTCGCAGTGCCGACACTTTTAGCCATAAAAGAAGAAAGCTAGCTTGAAAGAGAATTCTCGAAAAAAACGCCAGAAGATTATTAAAAACTAAACAAGTGTTTGTATTCCACAAGTAAAAAGCTATCGCCCTTCGTTGGTGGTCCGCTCTCGCAAGGCGCTCTCGTTTGGGTTCTTATTTTGCTCAGCACAACAGAAAACCGTCTCTCTTCTATGTCTCCCATCAAACAAGGCCTCAAAGCTCTCTCAGTAGTGCTGAGCGTAAAATGAGACCCGAAAGAGAGTGAGCAAAAGAGTAAAGAACCACCGCAGAGATCGATCTGCCGTTTAGAATCGATACGACGCGTGTTTGTTCTATAAAAGAACATCCAGATATGAGAGATTTGTGTTTAAATCATTAGAGATGGTCCAATTCCTCAAACTTGACTCCAGGTTGGGGGTTTTCCTCGGTCTTTACTTCCATTATTCGTTTCTTCTTCATCTGATACTCATTTCCAGCACTTCATTCCTGTCATCTCTGCTGCAGCTCCCTATCTCAATCTTTATATATGTATGTACAGGAGTATATGTGTATATTTGAGCAGCCTTAATTAGGCATCGAATCGCCAGTCGCCAACCAGACCAGACATTCGAAGAGGCAGCCAGAATGTTGATGACTTAATTTACAAGATTTATCCAGCTGTGCATACGATTTGGGCCTGAATCATGAATTACGCATTCTCATTTCAATTCAATTCGGTTTATATCCTGGCTTAGCTATCCTTTTGGGCAGCAGTCAGTCTCCGGCACCTGCATCCTTTTGCGGAGGGAAGGAGCCGCCTCCTATTCCCATTCCCGAGCGCATTTTCCGCATATTGACCGCACGTGAACTCGGAAGGATGAGGCCACATACCCGTAGAGTGGAGAGTGGAGAGCGGAGAAGTATGCCTGCAATTTATTCGCTTTGTTTTCCATTCCCGCACTCGGGCATTTACCCAAAGTTATGCGAATCGTGTGCACTCGCCAGGGGCCAGGGTTCGGGCTTATATGCACTCCGCTCCTGTCCAGCCGGGAGTCTATTAGGCCCTGCTGCGAGTGAGTGAGGGAGTGAATGATTGAAGTGGTCTCCCCCGTCCAGTTCTGGATGGAAAACAACTGCCGTAATGGCTTCCCCTTTGGAAATGTGATTTTAAATATGGTACCCCCCGTTTTCTCTCAGTGCATGTGTAGTATTTCGAACATTTGAGCCCCGAGACGTGTGGCTTTTATGGTTATTGCTTTCGGCTCCTGTGCTCCGATGGAGCCGAACGCAAAGAACTCTTTTTTCGGACCCCCTCGCCTCCCCTGGAGGTGGGCGTGCATTCCACTTGATGAAATTGTATTTTTACAAACATTTTCCACTCTTTTTAGAGTCGGGTTTTAGGGAGTGTTAGGGCAAGAAAAGGCCACCAATTGATCCGAATATCCCTACATAAATGTCCTTGCGTACTTACTGAAAAATAGAATATTGTGCATGTCGTGTGCATGACGCGCTACTTTCTTTTGGAACTTTCTCTTCTCAAAGGATGTTCTACTTCAATTTGCAGCTGGATTTCGACAGATTGTCGAAGAGAGATAAAAGAGAGAGAGGGAGGGAGGGAGGGAGAGGTACCTGCATTATTACGGATACATTTCAATTCCAGCGACAGCCCGCATTTGCAGCTTCACTTTTTTTGGGTTTGTTTCGGGGTTGGTTATTCTTTTTTTTTTGTTAGCATATTCCATAATTATTCCAGAAAGAGGAATTTCTGGCTATTAAGGCTGGCAGTTGGCTCTAAATCAAATGGAGACATCTCTTGCAACAATTTCGAGTTTTATGGCCCGGCCTCGGGCGGAGAGCAGAGAGCCAGCAGGGAGCTGGATCCAATTAAAAACTTTATTGCTCGAATTGATTTTTATTGTGCACTTCTTTGGCATCTGCCGGTGGGAGGGAGATACAGCAGGGGGGGAGGGGGTGCCTAGAGATAGATCCAATTTCGAAAGTCCAAAAGGGAAAGAACCAGGGGGGAGAGAGGGGAAAGTTGGGCATACAATGAGGTTATCTGTGCTCCCAAATACGAAAAATTGTGTCAATTGATTTTACTTCTCTCTTCCTCTCTTTCTTCTCTGGCTATCTATCGGATGGTTTTAATTATGAAAATGTGAAATGGCGACCACCACGCACTGATATCCGATTGACTCCAATAAATAAAACCAATAATTCATAAAATTATACACAAAGGATTCGCATTCAAGTGGTTATTGTTGTGGAAATTTAATTTGCTTTTGGCCTCATGAAAGCAGCCCCCAATTATGGCTGTCCTTTCAGCCATCCTTTTTGTGGTCTTTGAACCATTATTGGAGTGGTTTCTCAGCTATGGAAAGAACTCAAATAATACTGAAAAATATCTTTATTTTATCTTTGGATCATTTACTATTTTTAAATAATTTTTAAAGAACATTTTTAAGCCTTTAATCATTTAAAAACGACCCGTAGTGTTAGTCCTCTCTCTCTCTCTCTATGTTGCTCTCCTTCCAACAACGAAGCACCATCAGGCCGTTACTGGAAGTGGGAAGAGGGCTCCTTCTGGCCATCCCAATTCTGCAAGCTGATGGACAATATAATACTCTTTAATTGAAATAAATTCAATGTGAGGTGTGCCAACACTTTTGTACAACAAATTCTATAACATTTTTCTTTCAAAAAATTCAAAAAAATAATGCAATAAACTCAAGATTTTAAAAATCATCCAATCTTATAGAAAATGAATTAATTTATCGGATAAAACTAATTTTCTTTTGAAAATCACGATGGAAAAGCTCTGAAAACAGCAGTAACCTGGAATCTCGACTCTTGATCTCTATATCTCGAATATAGGGCTTTCTTCTGGCTGTTGCACGGATCTAATATGCCCCGTCAGCAGGTAAGAACATTCCCTAGCCGTCTGCTGGTAAATACTACCACTGGGAACCCCCATCCCCCCTGATTTTTTGTTTGCCAAACTGTCGTTCGCCTTCGTTTCCTTTGTTTCCTGCGGCAAAAAGAGTCAGAACAAAAAAAGTACAAAACCCTTTTTGCAATATTTGCATTATGCACGTCTGTGCACCCACCATTCCATCCCCCCATCCAACCATTTCTTAAAAAAAAAAACCACTCGCAGGCAAATAAAAATTTAAGAATAAAATAAATATAAATGCACGAAAAATATAACATTTGAAGGGCGAAAAAAGCTTAATTAAGAGCGAAAATTTAATGAATTGACTATGAATTAAGTTTCGTAAATTCTGAAATTGTTCTGTGGCTTTTTGGGCCTCAATTGCCGTTCATTGAATCAAATTAAACAATTATAATTTAGTCAGATTTGTGCGTTCGCTTTCGTAGAAATTCCAACTTTTAAATGGAAGAAAGACGCAACGCAACGAGAGAAATGCCTTAATTGAGTTTAATTGTTGCAACAACGGACCTACAGCCGGTCTTTGGGTCGAGTCGAGTCACGCAACATCCATTTACAAAAGATTAACAAATTCAAAAACGAAAAAACAAAAAACCAACAAAAAAAACGGTGGGCGGCTTCGATGCAACGAGAAAGGAAGCTGGAGACAAGAAAAGAGAGTAGCAGATACAAGATACAAGATACATGAATATTTATGATATTCCAATGAATTTGCATATTTTACGATTTTTCTCTGTGCGTCCGGGCAGGAGGAGGAGCGGGGGGTGGTAGGGGGGCCCACCAGTGACGACAGTTTGTTGTCTACTATGCAAATGTTGTCTCTCTCGCTGCCACATGCAACACGGAGTCGATAAAAAATTAGCAGTTCACAAGAAAAAACACAGAGACATTGTAAACATGGCACATCTCGTAGATTATGGCCGCTGGATGGATGGAAAATGCTTTTCAAAACTGGATCAACTTGGTCTGCTCTCCCCTCCCCACCTCTCCATGGCATAATATCCCAGTCAAAGAGCTAATTGCACTCACATTTGCGATGCCGGGAAAGCCAATCAAATTACCATATGGCCAAAAAAGCCAGAGAAAACTCCCTAAAAGACTGGGGAGGCTGCAGCGGCACGCAAAAGACGCGCACAATTAGGCAGAAATTTCCACTTTTCCAATGAAACCAGCCAGCCAGAAAATATCTTAAATGAGAGGAAAAGCAACAGAAATTTCGCATATCATTGGGCCACGATCGGTGGAGGGGCGTAGCAGGGGGGGGGTAGCAGGCCATTAGAGGCAGCTAATGGTGGCACCTTTTAAGGTTAAACTGGGCAAGCGGCCAGGCCAGAGGAGCCTCCTCTCCGACTGCTTATCGCCTGGCCAAATTTATGCACAGCCGCCAGACTAAGGGTTAAGCAGCGAGAGAGAGAGAGAGAGAAGGAGAGCTATCTAGACCAGGATACACCCTGCACTGCCTGCACTGCTTGCACTGTTTGCTCCCCTATAACAGTCATGGCACAAATAATAGTAACGGCATTGACTTTCAGAGCAAATTTAATCCATGAAAAATTCGAGAAAAATCTTTAAAAAAGAACCTATCCATGGCCGTAACTATTTGTTTGATT